CTATGAATTTATCCATTATGATATCACCATCAAGAAAATTAATCCTTTTCAGAATAAATCATAAGCCCCAAATTATTCATAACCCTGGAAGATATTTCTAGTAATTGACACAAGATTCCACAAAAAAAATACATAAAATAATGTGAAAGAACAATAGCTTGTGGTTTACTTACTTTTTATCTGGAAAATGCCATGTCAAAAATTATCTACTCGTATCTCAGTTGATCTTTTTTTAATATGAAAGTTATCAAATCTTTCTTCAAATTTGCACGTTTCCACTGCTATCTGGATTATTTATTCACAAATTCACTTCACAAATTCTATAAAAGGTTAAAGTTGACTCTTTGGCAGGGCCTCTTCAGAACATTACTTTTATTTTCTTTCAGAAGAAATAGTTTGGTAGAGTTAAAAGCTTACTTTAAACCAGAATTATCCAGAGGTATTAATGTTATCTGGCCTGTGTGAAATCACAACAATAATGGAGTGAATAAATTGAATTCTTGTTTTATTTGAGTTCTCGTACTTTTTGTTTTGCTGAACACATTACTTTGGCCTGGTTGGACAATTGCATCTACATTTATGGTCATCTTGGCTCCTCTTTGCCTTTCCCTGTAATTTTTAGCAGAGTCATTGTGGTCCCTTTATGTCCCTTTGTTGTTATTTTGCAGTACTTAGGAGTCATCCCAAGTTTCTCTACGGCCTCCATGCGTCTCTTTGAGGTTATTTTCTGCATCTCTTGGCCTGTTTAGTAATCCAATCATGGGTACTGAAAATGAAAAAGTACAGAGGATAGCACAACGGAGCAGAGGGAAATGGGAAACAATTGAGCTCAACAATTACTGAAAGATGGATTTCGAGTGCTGAAAGGTAGAAAGCATGAAAAAAACGTAGGCTTATGAGCTAAATGCCTGTTACTCTGCTGGAAGAGACAGAGTCCATATACCACAGTAATTTTTTTATTCTAACTCCACGTAAAACACTGATCCTCTAGGACATAATTATCAAATATTGGCATAATTATATACTCCACATGTCTGTACAACCTATGAAAACACAATCGATGAGGCATCAACAAATCTCTGAATTAACAAATCCATGTAAGAAATGTAAATGTTCACAGGGGCATTCAGGAACGGTGCTGAATTTGAATCTGCGCTTATTTCTCGTCGCCCAAGATTCCTATTGTTAATTGTATTTGTGAGGTTATGGGAGGACGTCTGCATTCAACTTAGTGTGTGTGTGCGTGTGTGTGTGTGTGTATGTGTGTGTACCAGAACATAACTCCCAGAAACTAAGAAAAGATCAAGGCAATATGTCATTAATGAGACCTAAAAGCCTTGATGTTTTCACAACCTGTGCACTAATTTATTTGGCAGCAAGTACTTAACTTTTAGATTTATGGTGCAGCATCCACAAGAAGCTAATTGGACTGCAAGTGATGTTTTTGACCTACTGTTAGTTAAAGCTTTTTTTTTCATGTTTGCTCACATGAGACAGAACAATTAACACGAGTCAGTGCAGGGGATTGGTGAAAAGGTAAAAAGAACTGAAGATGGATAAGTGTTAATCTTTAGCATGCATTGCCTCACAAAAAGTATTTATGCCACTTCAAATTCCTTGCCTTTCGTCACGTTGCAAAGATTCCTTCACCATAATTTAGTGGGAAACACAAAATACAAAATAGTTGTCGTGTGTAAAGATAAGGATATACGATTTTAAAAAAAATGTTTGTGCAGAGTTAAGATATCATGTTGGCTTATGTTTGGGGTTAGACCCACATTTCAGCCGCACGTCTTGCTACCCCACAGTTTATTTAAACCAGGGTTCTCGAACTCCAGACCTCAAATGCCAGTATCCTGTAACTTTTAGACTTCTCTCTGCTTCAGCAGACCTAGCTCTAACATTAGCTCTTTAGCAGAGCTGTGGAGCTTGAGTGAATGCTAGTGAGGAAGTTTAACCATTTCATTTAAGTGTGGATAACAAGCAACACATCTAAAGGATCCAGGACTCTGGACCCCAAGGAATGCGGCTTGAGATCACTGATCTAAACTCACAATCCATCACATCCTTTTTCCTAGTGTCATTCTACATCTCTATCCACTCCTCTTTGTTCCAGGCTCTGTCTAAGTTGGCTTGGGAAAATCTATTTCCTGAAGACTCCACCTCTGTGTTGCCTCTTCCAAAGTCTTCATCAAAAAGTTTCCTCGGCTGACCAATCATCAAACCCGATCGATCCATCCATCTTTTACCTTCAGCTCTTCATTCAATAAACTTCAAAACTATTGTCAAAAAAAACCATTTCAGATTTTTGCCATGAGGTTTTCAGTCCGATTTACTCTAATCTCCCTTCAGAAATTTGCTAATGAGTAAGTAGAATTAACCGGTGTGTATTTTGGTCAGAGCATGAAATCAGCTGTTCTGTAAAGGTCTTCGAGGTTTGTTGAAGAACATTAGTGGGTAGACAGCAGGACTGTGACCAGAGATCTCAAACTCAAAATACCTAGAGTCTACGTCAGGTCTAGTCAGGACTAGATATATTATATGGTAAAATGGCTAATGGTTAATGACCTGTACTTGTTTAGCGCCTTATCAAGTCCATAGGAACCCAAAGCACTTCACACATAGTCAAAGAGCATCTGTGGCTACACTGACCGCCGCCACAGGACCCTCTGACCACCACCGGTAGGAAAGGCAGGTTTTACCCAATAACACACACATACACAGGCGGACAGAGCGGGTATTGAACCCACAATCCATTGATTGATTCCTACCACCGTCCCCTCCATTGTCCCGGCCTGTGGTATTCCAAACTGTATTTCTAGTGATAAAAGCACAAAGTGCAGTTGCTTCTGAACTTTAAATATGCTTTTGAGCATAACTTTTTTTTCTTATTTTTACTGTAAAGCAAAAGCTATTTGTGGCTTTTACACAAAGCACTGGAAAACTTGCGGAAGGATGGGAGTAATTGTCCCAAACATACATTTTCTCTGCCTCTCCATTCACATCCCTGAACTTGGCTCTGAGCTTAGAAATGCTCTGTTTCTAGCACATTAGGAGCAGTTTCCACATTACTATAAAAGGGTTTGCAAATATTTGGAAAGCAGCTCCGTGTCTCTTCAAGTCTGCAAAACTCTTTCTGCAGCAATGACATCAATGTAATTCTCAACGCTGAATGCCGAGCCCACCTCCGCCAGAGCACTGCTTGCTGAAAAATGGCAAAAGGTTTTGTTTTTTTTTCTGGGAGAGTGAGGACTTCCATAGAACCGAATTTCTGGAAAAGGCTTTGATATTGTCATAAGGTGCTTTGACAAGCAGGCCACAGTCCTGCAGTTCTTCATAGAGCACATACAACTCCTTTGCAATATCAACCACAAAAGCTAAGTCCGTCTTTTGAATCCTTGAGCAGGGGTACTTCCATCCTGCCCTGCACCATGAAGTGAGGCAGCTACATTAGTTTTAATACAATTTTGACTCTGGCAAAAAATAAAAAATAAAATAAAATATATATATATATATATATATATATATATATATATATATATATATATATATATATATATATATATATATATATATATATATATCAATATAAAGTATTGGACAGAGTTCACAGCTCCAACGTTAACCCGTTCTGATTCATGTCTTATTCGAAATAGTATTTTGTAATGGTTGAGTTTTACCACCTCTGTTCAAATTAACATATATGATAGTGATGCTTTCATCAGAAAACAAAACAAAAAATATTGTTTAAAGCAGTCCTGATAGTGACTTTTAAAGAACCACAATGTTGTTCTTTTATTCATGTCAGCAGACAAAATTTTCAGTGAGATAAAATAATGTCTTCTTCAGCTGCTAATCTTTTCCAAAACACAAAGTTTTAAATATGCAAGAGCACAACTGTCAAAACACAAATGGCCTTTGCTGCACAGAGCTTAGTCTGATTTGTACCAATCTAATCACAGATGCATGAAGAAAAGAAAAAAAAAGGCCAGTGACAGACTTTGATCCTGTTAAATAGGCTGTGTAACTGCCACATTTTTATATTTACAACCACACATAAACTCCTCCTCAGAGGTTGAATTTGACATCCAAGTGTTTTTTATTTGGGTTAGAAAAATCGTCAATGCTTCACTGTCCTTGCCAGATGGGCAGAAGATTAACTGTCAGACTGTGATGTGTTTGCAGAGCTGAACAAGCCACTCGGATCACTTTCACACCAACATATTTTTCACTGCTTTCAGCACAGACTGTGCTACGCAAGGGCCTTTTCAGTTCATCAAAAACACAACGCCATTTTATGCAGCAGGGGTATGGCCAAAGAGTCATCATGAAAAATCTGCCGCAATATGAAGTCCTAATTGAAGAAACAACACAATGTGTTTAATGCAAAACTTCACCATGTCTGACAACATAAAACGTGTTAAGAAAACTCTGAGCTACCCAAAGTTTATGTTCGTCAAAGCAAATAATTTTTGCATATTCGCACGTGGTGTTTGAAAGTTATCGATGCTTTTTGAGAATTCATTAAGAAAGTAATAAACGTCTTCTGGTGGGAACAAAAAAAGAAAAAGGATGTTTCAGTTCATAATCGTTTCTTTTACAATTCCTGGCAGACTTTTTATTTTCACAAGGTCAAATCAATCAAAGGTGAAACACATCTTGGTCTCACCTCTGCCATGTGTTCTGGGATTTGTCTGAGGTTGAAGCAGGTGCAGGCAGGATATTGGATCAATAGTAGTTGAAAATGCCAAATAAAACGGAGGTCGTTTATATTTCACTCGATTCTTGTCTTATGTTTTTATTGGGTGCAGTTCAGTTGTGACAATGTAATGTTAGATCTGAGGTCACCTAAGAGGTATCAGAATATTTTTTTCATGCATGGATCCTTATATATATATATATATATATATATATATATACAAATTATTGTTTTTTTTGCTCTTTGTCTCTTTACTGGTGCTTCTGAACCCATAATGAACAGAGAGCTCACTGAATCCTACCTGGTGAATGAAGACCTGAGCTCCTCGAGGGCTCATGAGCAGCACGGCCCGTCGCAGAGTGTCCCGGTACCGGTTCAGCTCCTCCGTGCGCATCGTGTTGAAGAGATCGGTAAACACTCGGCTGATGTTGCGGTCCACCCTCTGCAGGGACACATCCAGGCCGAGCCGAGACGCTTGGTCCATGAAGGTTTGCAGTCCTCGGATATCTGAAGGGAAAACCGACATGGTCAGAACCACAAATAAAAAATAAAAAACTAAAAGAACTGAATACTCTTCAGGCTCTTTAGCCCTGGAGCATAAAACTTACAGATCTTGGTAAGCAGCCTGTGTCTTCAACACACGCAAACAATATTTTTAGGCTTTGTTCCAGGTGCTTGAAGGCAGATTTTGTTCTTTGCACCTGATCTAAAGCATGACAAAACACAACGAGCACTCGTCGCTTTCTGCTTCCCAGCGTTTGCAGAATATGAACCTCCAGGCAGGTGTTGCCATCCCCAGAGAACTTTGTGCATGTGTCTAGTTTTAGTACACATAAAAACCACTCCAAAAACAAAAAAGTCTGCACTCCGCACACAAATCAAAAGTGATGTGCAGCAGAGGGCTCCCGTTAAGCACAGCAGTCCCAGCGGTCACAGAAGGAAGCAGCTGCCCAGCATGTGCCAAGTCATGCTGCATTGTTAATGAGAGCTTAGAAAAATCACTGGATCCTTACTTTTTTGCATCCACTGAATATTTGTTTGTGTCCAACCATGTTGCACCTTTATAAGGGGTGATAAGTCATCCTTTGTAGACAAAGCTTCGAGAATTAAAAAGAACAAAAAAAAAAAAAAAACATACAGTAAACCTAAAAAAAACACTCGGCCCTCCTCCTACTACTCTACAGGAGAAAACTGAACTTTTTATGGTTGAATATTCAGGCAACAAAAGGGGAAAAAAAATCCCCTGATCTAATTGGAGAAGTAAATTATGTTTTTTTCGTGGCTTTTCTTTTGTCAGTACCTTGGGCAAACAAAAGGAGCAACATGATGAAGTACCATCTGAAGCAAACCATAAGAATTAGCTGTGCCGTTTGATTTTTCTTACAACTGATGTATTGCCATTTATCTTTCAGGTAGTAAACAGCTAACGGTTGCTGCTGGACTCTCCTCAGATTACAAATGCTCAAAGAGGAGAACAAAATGTGAAATTAAATCATTCATCATTCTGAAGTGTCAAACTCCTCCAGCAACGTTCTTTGAAATTCTTAAGAAATATGAAAACACAATACTTTCAATTGTCTAAACTGAAGTTGAACACATAGATGAACACATACTATGAATACAAACAGAGAAGTGTGTGCTTTCCTTTGACTACATGTGCAATATTCAGTCCATTGCTTTTCCGTCCTCCGTTTCACATCTTGACCCATAAAATATATATTTTTCGCTTCAAAGTGCGTTGCATTCAAGAGTTACTTAGTAAAACAGCGAGCACAAACAGATAACTTTATCTTGTGCACACGTCATCAGTTGTATTGATATTTTCAAGATGGATATTTAAAGGGAGGGAGAACAGTCAACATTACTAGGATGTAATGCAGAGTGAAAAGGGGAGTCAAATATGAGAGGAGAATGTTAAAATTGTCAGTAAAAATGAATTACAGTACATAACATGGTGTTGAACGTTTTAAAGAAAAAAAGTCAAGATCAAGATGGTGACATTTTAAAATGACTAACATTATTAATAACAGTTAGTATGGCTATATTACTGTAGCAGCAGTCTATGAATTTTCTAGATGGTAAGTATTTTATCGGTCTTCCGACGGGCTGCCAACATTTTTGAATCCCACGTTCCATGACAGATGAGGCCCTAAACTAGATATTAATGAAACATGGTTCTGCCATCCAGTTAGCCTTGCTGCTGAAGCTTCTTGGTGGTCTGCTGCGAAGCACAAAGTGTCACTGTAGAGATCTCTCTCCAGGTATTGCTTTGCAACTGATTGGAAACTTTGAATGTGAAGTTTTCACTCAAACCTGTTATCTTGCATTTTTTTTCTGAATACTAAAGTTCCTTCAAAGAAGGCGAACCTGAGCAGCAAACCTTTCACTACCAGGTTCAGCGCTCATGTTGAAACCAGTTATCAGCATTATCTGAAAAGAAACTATAACCATTTATATTTATACCTATTTGTAACATTTTTGTGGGGAATTTTAATTAGATTTTTATTAAAGTGTTATGATTTAGGTGTGCAAGGTGTGTAAAATCAGTACCATCTTTGTTTTGAATAGCAGCTAAAATTGTGGTCATCTAAAGAAAATCCTTTAAACGGCTTGGGCCAAAGGAAAAACCAGAACAACATAAAAACATTTTGCAATAAGCAAACAAGGATTTTTAACCCCAGAGTTTAGGGTTCCATGTAAACCTACTCCAGGACTTCAATAAAAGATTAACAAGGAATTACAGAATTGATTACTTGTCACAATTAACCAAGCATCATTTTGAGAAACTACCCCTGAAAGTTTTTTTTTATTTTTTATTTTTTTTTATTTTAAAACTCAACCTTTTATTCAACCTCCACTCTCACCTACTCTGTACATCTATCCTTCTGCTTCTTCTGGTTATCTGCTAAACAATAACTCAATCTTTAAAACCTGAGCTTACATAAAATAGCCATGACGATCCTCCAGCATGGTTTTTAGCCTCACATTGAACGTAAAGCAAACTCCCTCATGAATTTGAGAAAAGCAAAAATAACCATATCATGATCAAAAGGATGTTTTTTTTTTCTGTTTTTTCTTCACTGGGCTGTCAAGTAGTGAAAAAAAAGCATAGAAAACATCTTCTGCACCAGCCTGTTTACTCAAGACTTGTGTTGAGCAGTGAAAGCAATCACTGCTATTCTTGCAATGATAGCGTCTGTTAATTATTTTCAATATGGATTTTTTTTTTTTTTGAATATCTGAAATCTAGCAGGCGCAAAGAACAATCAGAACACCCAGAGCAGAGAGAAATTACTCCTTCAGCTTTAATTGCTTATTATTACAGATTTAGCTGTCATGTCAGCACAGGAGTTTAAATTAAATACAATTTTGTGCTGTAAACAGATGAAGCACAAAATATATCTTACTTCATGGTTATGAGATTCATTCATCATATCCATGTGGCAATAAATCTGTTGATCGGGACTTCTGTTGAAGAATATGCCAACAATACTTACATTTGTAATAGCTTATGGGCAGTGATTATACCAACAAATATACATTTTTTTTATTTTTTTATTTTGTTTTTAGCTTTGGAACTTACATACAAGAAAATGAGATCTGTTTAGTGTGATATTTTATCTAGTTTTCACCCTGAATAACACAAATGTGGAAGGAATTGCTATAGAAACAAGATAATCAAAAGAAAGTAATGGATGAGGAAATGGTCAAAAGATAACACTAATCATGCAAAGAAAAAGCTCAGCTAAGAAATAAATGCAAAAAAAAAAAATCATCATGGGTGACTAATACAGTAGCCCCTCTTCTCCTTTGTAATTTTCTGGGTTTTGTCTTGCAAAGGGATATTCATAGAAAATATAAGAAAGAAAACAAGCAACAAATAAAACCAGCTAAGACTGGAAGGAGAGAAAAAAAATCCAAATCAGACAGACATGTGTTTATCTAATCAAACAAAAACAGTAGAACCATGACTCACACTGTAATGAGAGTTTCTTTTGACATCATATTTTCATTACTATCTATATCAATGTCATGACCAATCAATTGAGAAAAAGCATTATGGTGAAAATCCCCTATAAACTTCTGGTACTGTAGGCAATTTGTTTGTCTTGTCACCAGAGACTCACCAATAAACTTCAAAGATCTGATTTTTCCTTCTTAATAAAAAGGAAGACATCTACCATCAAAACAGGTCACTTTGTGTTCTAACTGGATAGAGCTGAAGTGATACCATCAAATATCCGCATGGACGTGTGTCGAGTGCTGCTCTGTTACGACACACAGTGTGGAAGTTATTACATCTTTGTTTTCAATGGCAAGAAGTCAGATTGTGAGGCTTGGCCACACCCACATGCTTTGATGCAGTAAAAAGCTTTTGATAACTTTGATCTCCAATTCCTGAAGATTATACTGCCTCATTTTGAAGTCTCTAAATAGAGAGCTTTAGGAGGAGTTTGCTGAGATAACTGTGTAAAGGAGACAAAATGGCAGTTTTAATCCAAAGTGAGCAGCTTTCTCTGGGGTTGACACATAGCTCCAATGGACTTTTTTTTGTAGGCCTTGACAAGCTAGATGCGTGTTCTGAATGTCATAATCCTAGGTGAAAGCATGGCTTGAGGCTGATTGCTTTAATGGTTTTTAAGGTGTGGAGGAGGAATTGGTGGTGGAGAGAGGAACATTTTGTGCCGATAGTCATTTTTCCATGCCACATACCTTCCAGTTGTGTCGCCCTTCTAAGAAGGTGGTCATGGCATGAAAGCCCACAAATATCAACCTGCTTATTGACATCATATCTTGTTTCCATCATGTTACACTTTTTCTATGGAATGCCATCTACCTTTCTATCATCACCTTTGAGGATGACCAAACATTTATATTTTTTGGCTGAGAAGTTGATGCTGCTCTGATAAATTAAGAAGCTTTTCAAGTGTTTATATTTCAAAACAGAACCAAATGAAATGCATTTTCTATCCCCTACTGGACTCAATTGGACCATTACTCTTTCCTGAACCCAGTTTTATTTCTGTATCAACTGGACTGGCTTAAGGATGGCCAGCAGTGCCCCCTTTTGGATGGCAGGCAAAATACAACACTGAAAGAAGGTGTAAGCAGAGGTTATTAATTCATCAAATAGAACAAATTTTAATAAAAAATAACAACATTAATCGACAATTAATCTTAAGTTGATTACTTGGTATTTTGCAAGTAATCAATGGATAAGAGCCTCGGGTCACCTCTTTAAAAAAGGACAAAAGGCTTAAGCATTGTTTTCATTCAGTGGCTGAGACATTTCAAGATGTGATGATATCTTTTAATATCATTATTCTTTTTTACTGGTATCAGAGAGAGCAAAGCAGGCCAACAAAAAACAAGTTTCTCATCATCTAAGCAGTTCTTTAAGAACATTTTCATTTGAAAAACTGATACATTGTAGAACTAAAAAATCTTTGTTGCCATTACCTCTAATTATCCATTTTTCTAAAAGACTTTAGTTACCATATCAACAT